GGCAGAGAGAGAGGGAGACACAGAATTGGAAGCAGGCTCCAGGCTCTGAGCTGTCAGCACAGAGCCTGATGTGGGGCTCGAACCCACGAACTGCAAGATCATGACCTGAGCCGAAGTCGGACGCTCAACCTACTAAGCCACCCAGGCGCCCCGAGATGATTTTTAAAAAGGTAGGGAGAGAGGGAAAGAAAAAGCATCTGGGCCCCTGTCTTTTAGGAGGTTGCCCTCCGGTGCCTGTGAACAGCCTGGTAGCCTTTTGGGCTGCAGAGCTAATAAGTGGGGCAGGGGTGGGAGGTGTGTGTGTGTGCAGGGCAGGGGAGTAGTTTCTATTTAATTTCTTAAAATCTTTATTTTTTTTAATGTTTATTTATTTATTTTGAGGGAGGAAGAGAATCCCATGCGAGCTCCACACTTAACCCAGAACCCAATGTGGGGCTCAATCTCATGACAGTGAGATAATGACCTGAGGTGAAATCAAGAGTCAGATGCTTAACCACGTAATGGACTAAACCACCCAGGCACCCCAGGGAAGTAGTTTTTAGGGGGGCTGCAGGTCAGAGTCTTGTCATGCATGTCCCTGAGGTTCCTCTGCTGCCACCCCAGTGCCCCTGGCCCTGGGTCTGGAGAGTCCAGGGGAGCGGGAAGCTGGCGGGGACAGAGCAGACCATCTCCGGAAGAGGTGGCTTCCACCCTGGCTTTGTGGGGTTATGCGGTGCAGGGAGAAGAGGTACCTGGTAAGGACAGCTTCCCACCCCCTCTCCCACCCCAGCTCTGCTACTTGCCAAATAAAGCAGGGCTGCTGGGGGGAATCCCCATGTGGAGGCATCTGGAGAGGCCTTTCACTCCTGGTTGGAGCTATGGCAGCTCCAGATCCACAGGAAGTGCCACACGGCCACTGCACTTGATTGTGGCTTTCTTGCCTCCACCCCTGACTTCTGTCCCGAGACCCAGAGCCTCCCTGCTGCCTTGGATGCGCAGTGGAAGTCAGATGCTGCAGGTGAATGAAGGATAGAGGTCAGGCAATGAGGGAGGTAGACCACTCTGGGCATGGGGAGGGGTGGGGGACTTTGCAGGAGCAAAGCGCATGCACACCTCCCAGATTTTCCTGAGCAGGCCTGACAAAAAACACTGTCCTCTTGGTCCCATGAGAGCAGTTTTCCCCCACCAGAGTGTCCCTTCCCCAACCCTATGCACGGCCAAAGGGTCTTTGGAATGCACAGTTCATTGTGATTTTATTCTTCTGCTCAGAAAGGGAGAGCATCTCCCAGCTGCCCCAAGGTCCAAGCTCCGGAATCAGGGTGGGCATCAGGGTCTCACCACCCCATCTGCTCTTGGGCTGTCTGCATCCCTAGCTTGTTTGCTCGTTCACATTCCCCAGCCTCTGGTGCCCCGGCTCCTTCCACCTCATCTAGGCACTGCCCCGTCTCTGCTGTGTCCTCCCACATATGTGTCTTCTGGAAAGTCCTCCCTGATTGACCCACTTGGCTTGGTAACTGACTGGATGAGGGACGGGGCCAGATTATAGACTGTGTTGTCTATTAGGCACATGTGGAGCTACTTAAGTTTATTGAACTCAAACGTTTGGTCCCTCGGCTGCACTGGCCACATTTCAAGCGCTCAATAGCACAGAGGGGAAAGACCTATCCTAACAACCGGTTGCAGATGCGGGTTTCCCACCTCCCAGGGCGTGCTGTTGGACAGCACCAGTCTAGAAGGACTCCCAGGTTAAAAGTTCAGGCAAAAACTGACATGGGAAGAGAGTGAAGAACAGACTCGTGGAGGGGAGGGAACGTCCCAGTTTGGGACTTGAAGGGGTCTCTAGGACGTCCAAGTAGAGATGCCCAGTAGGAAACTAGGGAGTTCCTATCCTTGGCCACCCCCCAAACTCCCCCAAACAGGATTTGAAATCCAGCTGGAGACTCTCTCCTCGGAAATTTCAAGGGCCTCACTAAAATCCAATTCTAAACATCCCATGAAAACCTCTAGAAGGCAGCTGTGTGGCAGTGGGACTCACCATAGACACTGTGTGATGTGTCTGGCTTGGGTTGACTTGAAAAGCAAGCAGGTGCCAGTAGGCAATGTGAGGGCTGTGGGCCAGAGCTGGCCTGAACCCGCTACGTCTGTTACCTCCTGGAGGCAGGTTGTAGACCAAGCAGGGGTCTGAGAATCTCAGCCTGGACCCCGGGACCATCAGGTTGGTGAGATGCAATGACTCCCAGGGGTAGTCCTGACCGCATGTCCACGGAATCCCTGCCATTATAGGACAGCAGATGCAAAGGCATCAATTATCTGTTCTCTTTCTTCAGGATCTTTCAAGCTCTTTCCAACAGGAGAGTCCCAACACTGCTGTCCCTCTGTGCCTCACTCCTGGACATTCCCAGGGATTGATCTGAGCTCGCCTGGCTTTGAACAGGTAGCCCCCGCCCCCCTTCTCTGGTTCATGCAGAATCCTAGCATGGGAGCCAGACAGACCTCAGTGCACAGGGAAGGCAAACAGCATAGAGTCCTCTCCCCTTCCTGCTCTAGCATGTTCTGAAAAGACAGAACTCCCAGGGGGCATTTTCAGCTACAAGTCTTGCCTAAGGCTCAACCTCAGGAAGAACAAGGAGAATGGACCAGGTGGCTGAGCAGGGAGGAGAAAGATGAACGTTCGAGTGATGCCTACGGTAGTCCTCAGGAGTCCCCACTCCTCCAACTAGCCCAGAAAAGCCCACCACCAGGGGGCTGCCGGCGGATTACTGTCATCATGGTGGTGCTAAGGAGAGGGCACAGGGAGAAATGAGACACCCCCTGGTGTTTGTTCTCAGCCCTGGCTGCTCTCTAGCTTAACCCAGGAGATTCTTGTTTAACCGGGTAGGGCCAGTGTTTAAATAGCTCTTCTACCCCCACACACCTCACCCAGGAGGTTCTAATGCGTAGGTTTGATTTATAGCTACTGTTCTGGGGCACATCCCCAGCTCGGTGCTACTCTCAGGGCTCTCCGTGGCGGCCACGGGCTGTGACGTGATGGGGTGAAGCATCTAGGGCCCAGGAGGTGGGCGCCACAGCCCAGAGACACAACACTGCCAGCAGGTATGTGGGGCAAGAGGTCTCCTCTGCTCTGCCTCTCACCCTACGCTGACAGCAGGCTGCTGACTGATGGCCCCGCATGCACCCGGCCCCGCACAGAGGTGAGCCTGCCCAGGGGCTGGGGGTTGGAGCTGGCCAGTGGTTGGGGCAGAAGATTCCTTTTCTCTATTACAAAACATCCTTAAATCAAAATTGGAGGGACTGCTCCAGCAGTGCGGAGAGGTGGAGAGGAGTGGGATAGGACTTTAGGGCACCCATTCTTACCCACTCAAGTCCCCCCACCTTTCTGAGGCCGGCCATTCCGGGCAGAGCCAGAGAGGAAGCAGAGGCTGGGCCCAGTCAACACAAGGGTAGTGTGAGCAGCCCCCGCTCTGCCCCGAAACCTGCCCCACAATGTGTAGGGCAGGCCAGGCCAGCACATGGGCGGCCAGGGTATGGTCACAGGGGACAGTTATCTGAGCTGCTGTGGCTGGGAGGGAAGTCCCTGCCCCAATAACCCACCCCTCACCATCACCACCTCCTCCAACTCCACACTTCTGGCTCCTCCCTCCTCCCACTGGGTGAGCTTATACACACACCACGCCCCATACGCACGCTACTGGCCCCACGGGTCAGCCCGTCTCCAAAGGGAAGACTCAGATCCCCAGCTCTATCGACTTCAGGGTTTGCAATGTGGCCATATAACTAGACAGGGCAAAGGGGAGGTAGGGGAGGCCAGGGACCCACAGAGTATCACACTCATGGGCAGCTGGAGCTGCCCTTCTTCATCCCCGAGACCACGTGGGAGACCCAGGAGCCAGAAGCAGGGCCACCAGGAAGGTGTGGTCTGTGTGGCAACAGGGGGCTGGCTGGGGCTGTAAAGGGCAGGCAGAGATTTCCTCCCGGCTTTTAGCTATAGCCCCTTTTGAAAAGCACGTGCCTGGCTCTCCTGGTCTTGCCAGAGACAGGGGCCAAGTACACAGATACTATCGAGGAGGGAGCACGCCCCTCTTCTCTTGCGTCCCTTCACTGTCAGAGAGGGTTCCCAGGATGCAGGGGCCCCTGGGAGCTCAGGGGCAAGTGGCAAAAGATGGCAGGAGTCTGGGGAAGGAAGAGGGAATTCACTTTGGGGGCTTGAGTCCAGGTTCGGGAGGAGGAAGAGGTGGCCAGGGCCAACTCCCAGCTACGACCCCAGTGTACTTCCCTTCCCTCCGGGAGGAGACCAGCCTCCTGTTTCCTCTCAAGGCCCCAGGGGCAGGTGGCAAGGACAGGGAAGGGGCCGTGCCAGAAGCCCAGCTTCACCTCCACCAACCCTTCTTCCTCACGGGTAAGGAGGCCCCACGTTGTCTACATTTCTGACTGGGCTCCAGGCTCAGCACCGCCCAGGACGGCCAGTGAGGGCTCCTTGCCCTCCAGGAAGGCAGCGATGTTCTGCTTTTGGTTCCGGAGGGCCAGCTGCAGGGGCGTGCAGCCCACCCCGTCCTGGACGTCCAGCTGGGCGCCGGCTTTGACCAGTACTTTGAGGATGGCCACATTGCCCTTGAGGGCGGCCAGGTGGGCGGGAGTCCAGCCCACCTCATTGCGGGCATGGACATTGGCGTTGTGCTCCAGGAGGCTGACGACGCTCAGGAAGGAGCCCCGCTGGACAGCCAGGTGGAGGGGTGTCCAGCCCGACTGCTCGGGGGCATTGGGGTCAGCCCCGCACTGCAGCAGTGCTAACACCACCCCCTCCTCCCCGTGGCGGGCGGCCAGGTGCAGGGGCGTCCACTTCATGCCCCCAGGAGCCCCCAGATCTGCATGGCTCTCAGCCAGCAGGTGGATGACCTCCAAGTGGCCCTTGTAGGCTGCTAGATGGAGGGGCGTCCAGCCCTGCTGGGTGGGCAGCTGGAGGCTGGCCCCGTACCTGAGCAGCATCTTGCAGATAAGGTACTTCCCCCTGGCGGCCGCCATGTGCAGTGGGCTGTAGCCACTCCGGTCAAGGGCATCGGGAGCTGCCCCGCTCTTCAGCAGGTGCTGGATGGCCCTCACTTTGCCTCGCTCCACCGCCAGGTGTAGCGGCGTCCTCAGGTTTCTCTGCTGAGCATCCAGCTCAGCCCCCTGGCCTGCCAGCAGCTTGACCAGGCTGACGTGGCCAAAGTAGGCGGCCACGTGGAGAGGGGTCTTGCCCTCGGCCTCATGCAGGTTGGGGTCGGCCTGACGGGAGACCAGAAGCCGTGCCACATTTTCAAAGTTGTTCTGTGCGGCCAGGTGGAGCGGGGTCCAGCCCTCGTGCTCCTGGGCGTCCACGTGGGCCCCGCGGTCCAGGAGCAGGCGGGCGGTGCGGTCGTCTCCATTCTGGGCTGCGAAGTGCAGGGGGGCCCAGCCGTCTTCATCCGCCAGGTTGGCATCGGCCCCGTGCTCCAGGAGCAGGGTGCAGAGTTCAGGCTGCTGGTCCTGGGTGGCGATGAGGAGGGGCGTGTAGCCGCAGGCCGTCTGGCAGTCCACGTCGACCTCGTGGGCCAGCAGCAGCCTCACCTGCTCCACGCTGCCCTGCACCACCAGGAAGTGGAGGGGGGAGACTTTGTTCTCGTATGTGCACAGCTCCTCACCGCTTGGGACGGGGTTCTCACCGTCCGAGAGCCGCAGGACCCGCTTCAGGTAGTCTCCCCAGTCTGCCGGGAAGAAGATAGGGTTGAAAAATGGGCCTCTGACCTGTCCAGAGGTCATCTCATGCAGCCCCCTACCTCCTGGAAGTGCCATCCAGGCACAGAGACTCCAGGAGGGAGGGCAGTCTTTCCTGCTATCACAGATCTCTACGCGACGTCCTCATCCCAGCGAACAGACCCTGGCTGGCCTTCCTGTGAGGACGGGGCAGAGGGAGGCCTGGGGGCAAACCTCTCCATGAAGGGCATGGAGGCCTGGGGGCAAACCACCCTTAGCACCGCCTGACTTTTGCCAATTCCCTGCCACCTTGGGCCTCCAGATCCGGATCCGTAAAGGGGACACAAACTACCATTGTGGGGACAACATGGGTGGGTAAGAACTTTCAGAGGAGGGCTTGGCACAAAGTAAGTCAATGCAAGTTGAAAACAGGCTCTATGATCTGGTCTCCTCCTGAAGCCACTAAGGCTTCCTCCTGCTCCACCCAGAATGTGTTAGGATTAAAAGCAACAATTTTGGGGGCACCCGGGTGGCTCAGATGGTTAAGCATCCGACTCCTGATTTCAACTTAGGTCATGATCTCACGGTTCAAGGGACTGAGCCCCGAGTGGGGCTGCGTGCTGACAGTGCAGAGCCTGCTTGGGATTCTCTCTCCCTCTCTCCCTACCCCTCCACTCTTACTCTCTCTCTCTCCCTCTCTCTGCCCCTGTCTCTCTCTCTCTCTTAAAATAAAGAAAGAAAAAACTTTTAGAAAAGCAACAATTTCCCAAACAAGCAAACAACAATAACAGTAACAAAAATCCCTTCCCACGGCCCCCACACCCAAAGTTCTGATTTAATCAGTCTAGGTGGCCCAGGCATCAGGGTTTCATGCCCCAGATAATTCTAACACGCAGTCAGGAGTGAAAACCGATGTTCTACCTCCAAGCCAGGAAGGGAGGAGTCTGGCTTTGTAAGAACACAGACCTGAAGGGAAGCATAGCCTAAGCCCTGGGGGCAAGTGCATTTCTGGAACACAGAGCCGGGTGCCAAGAAAGGGACACACCAACTCCTGATTTGTGACAATCGGGGTGGAGGGGCAGGGGCAGGCGGGATGGGGATAGGTTGTAGTGAGATTCCACTTTCCTCTCCGCTGTGAATTCTCTGGGTCCAGTGTGGTACTCTGGACTCACCGTTGTCCGTTAGCTCCTGGCTGACCTCTTTGCTGACCTGGAGACAGGGAATCAGAAGACAGGGGGGCAGACGAGATGAGTGGGGTGGTGCTGGTCTGTACCCTCCTCCACCCCTCCCCTCTCTCTGACCCTCTCCAGCACCCGTGGGGACTCCCATCCCACTCTGTCCTAGGAATCCCCCCTATGCCATTCCTACCAACAGCCTGACAAACGTCCTGAGCAGGGGAGACCCTGCCAGAAAGACCCTGGTCCAGGGTCTTGACTTCCTCTTGGGCCACATGGAGTGCAGGGTGGCTGGCCCTGTGGTTCGGCCAGGAGCCCCCTGCTAGCTCCTGGCTGGTCCCCATGGTAGGGAAGGCACAGGAGAACAGAGTGAGGACACTGAGGCTGTCCGGGCAGGGCTCGGATGAACCCACACATGCGAGAGACCGTATGTCCTTCTCAGGGGCTCGGAGCTACAGCCACCACTGTGCAAAGTAGGAAAATCTGTCCCCAAGTGGGCTGCCTGGTGTGGCCAGCAGTGTGGACTGCGTCTCAGTCCCCATTTGCTCCCACGCATGCATCCCAGGACCTGCCAGAGACACGCCCAGCACTCACGTCCCCAGGCCGGTGCAGAGACAGCTTGCCCGACACCTTCCTGGCCAGGGCCTCACTCTCCGGGTCTGCCACGGGACTCTGCAGCAGGAACAGCAGCATGTCTGTCTCAACTGTGATTTCTGCTCCATGAAGGAGAGAGACAAAAAAAGCAATGGGCTGGCCAGCCGTCCCTTCTCCATTTTAGACACCCTAACATTCCCAGTGCCCACCCCGCCATCCATTCCTGGACTCATGCAAATTCACACATGCGCACCGGGAGGCAGGAAAGCTGGGTCCCGGCGGAGGCTCCGTGGGGCCACATTTAGCACGTCACGTCACTGACCCTCTGAGGGTCGGTCCTTTTCCATAAAACAAGCGGGCAGGACTCGGTGATGTCTAAGGTGTTCACAGTTACACACGCATGTGTTTGCACAGTCGCTAAAGGGCTGGGTATCCTCACAGGTCATCCAGGCCCGTGATCTCACGGTCTGGAACATTTTACAAATGGGGATGCTGTACCCTGGAAGGACCAGGCTAACCGGGAAACTCAGAAGCAGCACAGTGAGGCCCAGACCCTCCAGCATGGGTTTTCTAGTCTACCTCCCATGGGGTGCACGGTCACCCTGAGACTCGGGGCCGCCATCCTCAGCTGCCCTCCTCCTTCCCGGCTCTGTGAGAAAGACTGTGCCCTAGGGCCAAGCACAGCCCTCAGGAGTGGCCCAGGCTCCAGCCATCTCCTCTCCTGCCCCCTCCAGCCTCAGCCCTGGCCCCCTCAAGCTCCAGCCCTGCCCGGTTCCCTAGTCCCTCGAGCAGTTTGGGCTGGACAAGAACCTGGAAAGGAGGGCCTCTTCTTGGGGTCCTGATCCCAACAGCGCCTCATCAGGTTCACCATCTGCTGGGCCTCGCTCGGCCATGTATCAGAGACAGACTGCAGGGAGGGCCGCATGCCTGCGGCCACTTGGACGACAATGGTCACCATGTGGAAGCCTGTGAGAGGAAGCCCAGGCTGTGTGCAGGTCGGGAGGTGGGGCTGGAGTGGCTGGGCAGGGTACAGGGGCAGGGGGGCTCCCAGGATCCCCACAGAGTAGTGCACACAGCAAAGGCAACATAAATGCACTGTGAGTCAACAGCTAGGTTGCAGGCCAACTTGAGGTTCCAGTTTGAGCTATTGGGTCTCCGGTCCAGCTGTGGCCACCTCCCAGGCCAAGACGGGACAGGCCTCTGATGTCCAGAGGCCTGGTTACAGGCTTTGACTTTTCATTCTGTGAGTTTGCTTGGGTTTCCTGACAGTCTATGTACCTGGCATTAGGTGGCAGCTGTGGGGGCAGGAGAGACAGGAAAGAATACTTTGGAAGCAAAGGAATTAGAGCCAGAAGCGTGGTCTGGGCTGACGTATGCCCTCTTTGTACTGTTACGTGAGCTCTGGAAAGTAGGGCAGGAAGGTAGGAGGGTAAGAGCGAGAATCCGTAAAGAGCACGTGGTTCCCCAACACCAAGGTGCCACCTGCCCTCCCCTGTGAGCCCTCGGCCTCTCCCAGCCCCTTCCAGGACCCCACCCGAGGGTGCCGGCACCGCCTGCTACCTGAATACGGCTTCTTCTGAGTGAGGAGCTCCCAGACAACAATCCCGAAGCTGCAGACAGGGCAAAGCGTGCCCTCAGTGACTTTCTCAGACACCCGTGGTCGCCCTACATGGTGGGTCCCACATGCTCCCATCCAGAGTGCCCCTCCATCCTTCCTCCCCCTTGCCCTGTCATTCTGCCCTTGGGACTGGGGGGACGGGTCAGGCAGGGTGGTGATAAGCAGTTACCCACCCCCCACCCCCAGAGTGAGCCCAGCCCCCTCTCACCTGTACACATCGTACTTGGGCCCTGGGGCCTTGTTACTTTCCAAGAACATCTCAGGGGGGATGTAGCTGAGGGTGCCCCGCAGAGCTGACCTCTCGATGTACTGCATCTGGGTTGACTGTTCCATCCACTTGGATAGGCCGAAGTCCGAAATCTGGGGGCGAACCACAGGCAGGGATAACGGAGCCACAGCCTCGCCTCCAGAAAACTGCCTTGATCTCTCCCCCTCCTGCAGCCTGCCCTTTCCAGGACGGGGCAGTGGTCAAGAGCCTGGGCACCTCTCCCACGTATGACCTGGATGGCCTCAGACAAGTTCCTTACCTTCTCAGAGCCTCAGTTTCCTCATCTATGAACTGGAAATGGCAAGGACACTTAAGTGACAGTGCTCTGACAAGCATTAGATGGAGAATTGTGCCAAGATCACTTAGAACAGTATCTGGCACACAGCAAGTACTTAGTAGGTGTGGCTGTGATCCAGACGGACTGTGGACAAAGCTGCCGTCTTTGGTAAGCTTCCGTTCGTCCACTTCCAAGGGCCCGGAAGTATATACACCACGTATATTTATCCCCAGCACGGATTCTATCCACTGGTCCATTCGTATGCCAACTGACCACTCACTGACCACTCAGCCTGCGAACTAAGGATCAGGCAGCAGATAAGAAAGCTGAGACCCCCACACCTATTACTCCTCTAAGTCCTTACTCAAATAGGGAGGTATAGTCACTAATGAAACAGTTTCACAAATGACTATATACGTACCATTGGGGTTAGCACTATGAAGAGACAGAGGTACCATGAGGGTATATAGTAACAGGGGCCTGTTGGGATCCATCAGGGAAAACTTGAGGAGGTAATGTTTAAGCAGAAGGCTGAAAGATGAGCACGGCCTGCTAAATAAAGAAGGGAGGAGGGGAACACTGGTCCTGGCAATAGGGACAGAATGTGCAAAGGTCCTGGGGCAGAAGAGGGTGGCACATTTTAGGAAGTGAAGGCCATCATAACCTTTCTTAGGAATCATCTCATTTACATACATCCCCACCCAAAGCAAAGAATGGGAGGGACAGGGAATATTCTACCCACAGTAGAAACAGAAGACTGAGGTCCAAAGAGGGTTATTGCAGGCATCCTGATACCCAGATCCATGCACCAAACTCTACTGCTCATCCGTCGTTTTAGGTGTCATCCCTGCCTTCAGTATTTGTGCATGAATGGAGCCACTTGAAACTCTCGGCAGGCTGGTCAAGCTGGTAGATAATCTTGCTCACCTGCAGGAGACTCTGGAGCAAAAAGGTTGCAGGGAGGTTGACTGGGGCCTTTACCTTGACATGCATGTTGCTGTCCAGGAGGATGTTGCCTGGTTTGAGGTCCAGGTGGAGCAGAGGTGGCTTAAGGCTGTGGAGAAAGTTCATGGCCAGACTGGTCTCATGGATGATGCGGAACTTGAGCAGCCAGGAGAGGCTGTGTGTGGGCACCATCTTCTCCAGGGAGCCGTTGGCCATGAACTCCATCACGATGCCCAGGGGCTGCCTGCATACCCCGTAGATGGACACGATATGCTGAAACTTGATCTTCTCCATTTTGGCTGCTTCTTCAATGAGGCAGTCCACATCGTGGCTGTGGACACGTGGGGCGTGAGGGATGCAAGGAGATGACCCGTTAATTCCAAGAGTAACGAACAGAGCAACAAACTAGGCTTAGTGCCAGGCTCTGGAGACCCGGAAAAGCCTTGGGAGTTTGCAAGGTAGTGCAAGAGGAAGGTGAGTTCTAGAAGGATGCCTAGCAAGATGCACAGAGTGGGGTCCAGATGGCCGGCCGCAACGGGGCAGGAAAGCGAAGGAGTCTGAAAGCTTAGGGGCAAGTCCGTTCTACAGGGGCGGCCACAAAAAGCCGGCCGGTTACTCTGCCACTTGTCTAGATGTTTGTCTCCCCCGGTAGGTCACAAGCCCCTGGAGGGACAACATCACGCCTCATGCTTCTGTTTCAAAATATCATTTGCTGCCATTTTGATTATGAAAATAATATTTATCCTCGCAGGAAATCAAGGGAATACAGAGAACTAGGAAGAAGAAAATTAAATCATCAGTAATCCAAGCTTGCAGAGTTGGCCTCTGTTCATATTTTAACATATACATGTTCAAGGTGTCTCTCTCCTTTTCTCCCTCCCTTTCGCTCCTTCCCCCCCTCCCCTGTCCGCCTCTCCATCACACCATGTGGGGTGCTTTGTGATCCACTTTTCCAGCTAGCACGCACGCACAGTGCCTCCTCCCATAGCCATTCTCCTGAAGCGGGGTCTGCACTGGCTGCTCTGGACTCCGACTAATGGGTGAACTGCAATTATTCATCTTGCTTCCCCCCCCCCCACAGCACATTGCCACGCAAAGCACAATACGTCTTTGTCAAACTGGTAGTCAAGACTTAAGGGAAAGGCCTTACAAAATAAGCATTTGCCGGACCCTCTCGCTCCTTTCGCCCACAGAGTGGTAACTATGCAAATTGTTGGGGATTGTCTGGGGATTGCAGGGATGAGGCTTAGGGAGAAATGACATTTTTAAAAGCCCAGTATTTGCAAAGCCGTGTGGGCACTGCAGGCGGAGGCTGCTGGGAATGTGCGTGCAGGGCGGCCCCGGGAAGCCAGCCAGAGACTGCTGCCCTCCAGGAAACCTACCTGCTCCTCCTCACATCTGGACAGGGTGGCTGGTCCAGGTTTCCTCTGTTCTCGCCTCCACCTCTGCTCTGTTCCAGAGACCTCCCCTCCACCTCTGCTGTACTTATCATCTGTCTCCTCTTGTCCTTTTGAGTTCCCAGAAACTGAGATACTGGTCGTGGAAAGGAGCAAGCAAGGGATCCGGGGATCTCGCTGCACTGGTTTCAACTCCCAGCTTTACTGCTTATTCTCTGCATGACCCTGAGCGAGTAAACTCTCTGGGCCTCAGTTTCTTAACTATGGAATGGGAACAACAGCTTGCACAACTGCCCCGACAGCCCAGACACACAGTCCACGTGTGCTGTGTCTGCGGTTCATCCCCCACCAGCCCCTGTCGCTGGGCATCTGGTCTCGATTCTTCTTTTTTGAAGCAGGGCTTGAACTCACAACCCTGGGATCAAGACCTGAGCTGAGAACGAGAGTCGGATGCTTAACCAGCAGAGTCACCCAGGCGACCCAGGTCTTGATACTTCTCTGAGCAGCTGATGCCAAGGTGTCTGAGCCCAACCTCTGCCCAGTGCTACAGCCTGTGC